AGTGCGCCTCCGCCCGGCTCTTTTTGCGTCGCTCTTTTCGCCGGCAGGGCGGTGCCGAGCCGCCTCACTCGTACGTATTGATTTTTTGGCGTTGGCTCGGATGGGGCCCCCGGCCGGGCGGGGGCGGGCGGGGCTCCGTTGGGGCGCTCGTCGTTGCGACCCGAAATGACCCGACACGGCCCGGCGCGGGGCGCGGCGCCTAGCCAGGCCTAGCCTAGCCTCCAGTAGCGCGCTAGCCGGCCCGCTGCGCCCCTCGCGACCTCGCCCTGCTGCTCCTCAACCTGCTCTCCTCCCTGCCCCCCAGCTCCACCGAGTCCCCGGCGCCCCGCGGTGCCCCCGCAGGTCGGCACAACGGCATGGCCCCTCCCCCGCACGGCCCGCACCACCGAAGGGACCGGAGGGATGCCGGGCGTCGCCAGGACGAGGACGCCGCGCTGGAGGATGGCGACGAGGACTACGACCACCGCGGCTGGAGTCGGTATGTTGTGAGCGCCGAGCCACGCCCCACGCCCGGCGCTATCGAACGGGACGGGCTGGGCGGCCACCACCACGCCGTGGCGCTGGTTCAATACGCGCCGCCTTGGCAGGTGCACCTGCCGCCCGGCCGGCGCCCGCGGCGCTCAGCTCCTCCGCCTGGCCGGGCTGCTGCTCCAGGAGCTGTTGCTCTGCCCGCCGGGCCTGACGCGGGCCGGTCGGGGACCATCACCAGCAGCAGCCCTCCCAGGCAGATAAACAATAAACCAGTTCAATTGAACGTCCCGGTGCGGGTCGCCCGCATCGCGCCGCGCCCCTGCTTCTGCCCCGAGGCGCGCCGGCAGACGGCTGACCTTTCCCCTCCCGCCGCCTCCCGTCGCTGCAGTCTGGTGGGGTTGCTTGCCGGCGGGCTGCCAAACGCAACTGCCCGCCTTGCACTTGTTTTATCGATTGAAAAGGTGCATCCGCCCGTCCGTCCCGTCCGTCCCCCGGTGCTGTGCAGCGGTTGTGCAGCGGCGAGGGGTCGCGGCGCGGGCGGCGCGGGGAAGGACGACTGCTGTCGCCAGCCGACTGATTCAGAAGATCGTTCAAGAGGGCCGCTCCTATACCTCCCGTATAGCTCCTTCCTTGTTGCACTCATGCGGTAGGTATAGGAGAGGTCCTCTTGAACGATCTTCTGAATCAGTTGGCAGGGCGGGACGCCGGGCTGCGTTGTGCAGGGCACGCGTCGTCGCCTCCGCCAGAAGAACATCCTGCGAAGGTCGCTGGGCGCAACCGCCACCGGGCTGGGCGGGCACCCTGGCCCGGCCGCTGTGAGAGTGAAAGGGGTCGACGCCCTGTTGAGAGGCTGCGCCTCGCGGCGGGGATAAGAATCGATGACGACTCGGGCGCCCGTATGTAGGGATGTGCGCGGGGGCCCGCGGGTCGCTGTCATTGCACTTATTGCCGGGCAACCCTGACCTGTCTCAAAGGCCGCCGCCGCCTCGTGGGCCGGGTGGACCGCCAGCTCATGGAGTAGCTGGGAGTATAGTTGGTGCGGCCGCCTTGGGCGCGGCCCACGCCCCCTGCCACGGGCCGTGCCACGCCCACCTGCCGCCCCGTGCATTCTTGTGCGCGTCGCTGCATGACTCGGCACACGGGTGGCTCGCGCCATTCGGATCGCAGCAGCAGGAGCCGGCCCGGCCGGCGATACGCAACGCCACGCCACCCCGCGGATGTCAGCTGAGCGGTGCGATGTTGCTGGCGCGGGTGCGCCGCCGCGGCCGCCGCGGCTTCTGAGTCGGCCTAGTGTAGTCGGGCCCTCTCCCGCCTCGCGGCCAGAGAGCCCCCGGGCCCCCGGGCCCCCTGCCGCCGCTGTCGTGCCCGCACACCCACACCCGCCTCTAAACAGGATTACGTCGCGGGCTAGGCAAATGAGATCCACGCGCCTCGAGGCGCCTGCTTGTGCCCGGCGCCAGGCCTAGAGTGCCTAGGCCTACGACGGCTGGCCGCACTCGTCAGGAGGCTGCCGATGTCGTCCGCCACGCCGCCTTGGTGCACGGTCCGCTGCGCGCGAAGGGCCGAGAAGCAGTTGGGCTCGTGGCAGAGGACCAGCGCGGTGCTTGCCTCCCGCCGTGCGCCGTCATCGCGGGCCTCCGCGCCCCGCGTGGCCCGGCCAGTCACCCCAGCCGGGCGGGCGCACGGGTGCGCGGCCTCCTCAGTACAGCACCCCGGGCGGCACGTTGCCCTGGCAAGGGCTTTGCTCAGTGCTCGGTACACCAACCCCGCCCCGCCCAGCACGCCCCCGGCACTGACACCGCGCCCCCCGGTCCGGGACAGCGCATTTTCTCAATGCTCTGCATACCCCCAGCACGCTTCCCACCCTTTGCCCGCCCTGTACAGCGCTTTGCTCAGTGCTTAATACTCCAGCAGCACCCACACGTCCTGCAGCTCCAGGCGCTGAGCTCGTCGCCCAGGCGCTCGGCGCTCAGTACGAAGCACTCCAACCCCGCCCGGCGCGTTTCCCCCTTCACCCCGGTAATCCGCGGCGCGGCGGACCCAAAACCAGCCGAGTTTGTTTAGCCGCGCCGAAAAGTTTCGCGCTCGAGCCTGAAATCGCTTGAGGAGGGAAGGGGAGCGGCGTCTGCAGGCTCGACTGGCAACATAGTCGTGCCCGGCCCGACCAGGCCCGGCCCGGCGGCGTTCGTTGGCTGTTGGCTCACCTCGTTTAGCGCTCAGCTCCAAATTAAAGGACCCGGGTGTGGCGGGGCTTGGCGGGGCATATACGTACCTGATTGCAGGGCCAGACCCCGCGAGGCGTGCCTCTGGACTCGACTCGACGGGAGGGGGGGGGGGGAGCAGCCAGGGCGCGTTCGTTTTGGCAGACGGGAGGGAAATGACCTGACTTTCGCAGCCCTGGGCGATCTTCATGCTCCTGCATACTGGTGCGCGCCGCTGCCCCCTCCCTCGGGGGGTCCTCCTCTTGCAAGGTGCCCTCTTGTCCCGTCTCGTCAGTCACATGTCCTCGCTGCTGAGCCTCTGTGTGTGTCTCGTCTCGCTGAGCAGCTGAATGCGCCGGTCGCGAGGCGCGGTCAAAGGGAAACGAGGAGTGGTTGCCGGGAGGAGGGGGGGGGGGCACTTGTGTCTTCCCTCTTCTGCTTTTACTTTTAGCGAGAACACTTATGTCCCGGCTGGTCCCGCGTGCCGCGCCGGGGCCCCCTGCTCCCGAGTTACGCCTCGAGTGCGCCAGTGTGCGTGCGTATGTGCATGCGTGCGCGTGTGCATGTGCGGCCGGGGCTGGTCCGGGAGAGCGAGAGAGAAGGAGAGAGAGAGAGAGAGAGAGAGCGAGAGCGTCCCATTCATTCCCCTTCCCGGGCCGCCGGGGCGGCGTTGCCGGCTCTCCCCACCCGGCCACTAGCGGCCCCGGCCCGCCTGAGCCGCCGCGCCGCATTTTTCACCGGGCGGTTTGTTTGCGCGGCTCTGGTCGAGGGAAAAGGGAGGGGGTTTGGGGGGAAATGGGGGGAAGAGAGAGAGAGAGGGAGACGGGGACGGGGTGCGGGCGATAACAGCGGCTAGCGAGCCCATGGCGCTGCCGGCCCGGGGCCCGGGAGCCCTGGGCCCATCGGCACTGCCCACACGCCCCAAACTGCCCGGCCCGCGCCGCGTAGTTCCGCCACTTCAGTACCCCCCCCCCCTTTTCTCGTCCTGTTCGTGAACCTTGTCTTGGGATTGGCGGTCAGAGGGCGTTACTCCTTCCGGCCAGTCACTGATACTGTCTGATAGGATTTGCGTGGGGAGCGGGAAAGGAGGGGGGGGGGGAGTCATCCAAGAGCGCAGCGGCCGGACCATCTTCCATATGCGAAGGGATCATGCGTTAAGTACGGCCGGTGTCGAAAGGGGGGGGGGCGTCACCTAAAACTGACGATAATTGACGAGGGGTGCGGGGTGGGGTAGGTACATAGTCCGGACGTCCGATTTTAACTGTACAAAATCTGAGAAATAAGGCAAAAATTGTGCTGTTTTTACATTTTCTTGACATGGTTCTCTTCCATTGTACAAGTAGGCCTGTCATATTATAATTCCCCTTCCAAAAACATATTCCTTATCACCACATAAAGAAACTGATATTGTTGATTTGGGGTGGCCTAGGTGAAAATGGACGTCCGGGGGGGGGGGGGGGTTACGAAAACTGACAGCAGTGGACGAGGACGAAGGGGCATGAGGTGGTTGTTTGTGGGCGTAAAACAGCGGACGTACTTTACGGATGATCCCTTATCCACTCGAACCCTGGAGTAGCATGGGCTCTCATGGCCTGAGGGCTTTCTTTGGCTGGTCAGGCTGTAGTTGTGCACGCGCCGATCCAGGGGCGCTGCCCTTGCTCCCGCCCCGCACCCTCCCTTACCCCTTTGCTCCCTGCTCGGGGGAGGGCGCGGGGCGCCGCGCGGGTGCGCAGTGGGGAGGAAGATGAGCCCAAGGGGAGGTGTGGGGTGGGGCCCCCATGGGGTGGGGACTCAGCTGGGGAATACAAATGAGACCGCAAGCGCTGCGCGGGTCTGAGTGCGGGACGGGACGGGATCATCGAGCGAATTCCCCATGGAGGGAGATAGAGGCGCCTTGTGGCCCGACAGGTGAGAGGAAGGCCGGCAATGCAGCCTTATCTGCCGTGCGCCGCGCTCACGTCGTCAGTCGTCTGCTCGCCCCGCCCCGCCCCGCCCCGCGGCCCCGCCTCGCTCGGGTCGGGCTCGTTGAGAGTCGAAAGCCGGACAAGGCGGTCCGTTGTTGGAGGCGGCAGGTGTGCGTTGCACGCTGCCGACGCGAAGTGGACACCCTGTCTAGTGGTCCAGCGTGCCTGACTGTTGCCCGGCATAACACTGTCATGTTTCGTGTGCGCAGCTCCTCCTCCAAAATCATCGTGGGCAACGTTCCCAACAGTGTCCACCCCCCGGACCTGGAAGGACTGCTCAGTCAGTTCGGCACCATCCAGAGCATCGAGAAGATCAACACCAGGGATGGCGCAACCCAGACCGTGGCCGTGATCTTCGAGGCCCCAGAGTTCGCCCAACAGTAAGTATCTGGTGCTGTTGCAAGGTGTTTGCCACTCCCCCTTCTCCGTGTTTTCATCCCGTCGCACGCTTTGTTTACTTTCCTAGCGCAGCTGTTGCTCCAAACTATTTTCACTAGGAGATCGTCTTTTTCTAATATCTGTTTCCTTAATTTTAGGGCATGCCAGGAACTGAATGGCTACGAATATGAAGGCAGTTTCTTAAAAGTTGAGATGGCCTCAGAACGCCGTAACAGGAACAGGGCTGCTCGAGGCCCAGGTGGAATGGCATTCCAGGGACCCCCTGGGGCGTCTCGTCAAACAGACTTCCCTCTCAGAATTCTTGTCCAGAGTGATATGGTTGGTGCGATTATTGGTCGTCAAGGTACCACAATCAGACAGATTACTCAGCAGACAAGAGCGAGGTAAGAAATCAATTTTTTGAATGTTATTGTTATCTTACTGTTAAAGTTTGTAGCTAAGTTCTTTTTCTAAAATCTATTTTCAGAGTTGATGTTCACCGCAAGGACAATGTTGGTTCACTTGAAAAGGCTATCACAATTTATGGTAACCCTGAAAATTGTACCAATGCTTGCAAAAAGATCCTTGAAGTTATGCAACAGGAAGCAACAAATACCAACAAGGGAGAAATCACCTTGAAGGTTCTAGCACATAACAATCTTATAGGCCGAATTATTGGTAAAGGAGGCAACACAATCAAACGCATAATGCAAGAAACCGACACAAAAATTACTGTATCCAGGTGAGATATCAATCCAAAGCATAGTATTAAAGACAGCCAGCTGCAAAATCTACGCTTGTAGTTGCTTGCTTTCTTTGTGCTAATTACCATTTCTGGTTTCTGATATAGTATTAATGATGTAAGCAGTTTTAACATGGAACGGATAATCACAGTGAAGGGATCTATTGAGAACATGTCCCGTGCCGAATCAATGGTCAGTTCCAAGCTGAGACAGAGCTACGAAAACGACCTTCAGGCTATGGCTGTAAGTATTTTGTCTATATTCATCTTAATCCATTTTAGACATTGCTTTTTTTTTTTTAAGGAGAGAATTTAAGTTAATGTATGTTTTATTTGTTTGTTTTATAGCCTCAGAGTATGATGTTCCCTGGTCTTCATCCCATGGCTATGATGTCAACCTCCAATATGAACTACTCATCACGGGGTAGCGGTGGATTCCCTGGCACACCTTACGGATCTGGCCCTGCTAGCTACCAGGGAATGTACCCTCCCGGTGGTGCTATTCCTCCGACGGGCGGTCCCCCTGGTATTCCTGGTGGACCCAATGATGCTCAGGTAAATAATTTTTTTTTACCTCTACATGTGTTTCCTATATATTGAATGTGCTATAAATAGGTTTGCAATTACAAGAGTTATCATTGGGATAAAGGTTTACAATGTAGAAAACATTCATACTGACTCTTGAAGCAAAGCCAAGAAATGATCTGAGCTGAATACTAACTAACAATTGTTTTTGTCTTTCAGGAGACTACCTTCTTATACATCCCTAACAATGCAGTAGGAGCAATCATTGGCACCAAAGGTACCCACATCAGAAATATTATTCGATTCTCTGGAGCGTCAGTCAAGATTGCCCCAATTGAAAATGACAAACAGCCCCCACCTCCACCACCACCAACACAACAGAACCCAGGCGAGCCACAGCCTCCTGTTGCTGAACGTAAAGTCACAATTATTGGCACACCAGAGTCCCAGTGGAAGGTAATTAATTTTTGCATCCCTGTTACTGTACTTCTCAATGTAAATTCCTAGATTACTAGAGAGCTTGACACTAGTTTTATTCATGATGATCCTAACAATTTTTTGTGTTTTCCAGGCACAGTACCTTATCTTTGAAAAGATGAGAGAAGAGGGCTATGTAGCTGGAACTGAAGATGTGCGCCTCACAGTTGAGATCCTGGTCCCATCTGGCCAGGTTGGTCGCATCATTGGCAAGGGTGGCCAGAACGTTCGGGAGCTCCAGCGTGTCACTGGCTCCATTATCAAACTGCCAGAACAAGGATCTCTTCCTCAAGAGGAAATTGAAACCACAGTCCACATTATTGGACCATTCTTCTCAGTGCAGGTATGCTTCAGTTCTTGTGTCATACCTCAAACAAATGTAGTAGTCCAGGATCCTTCCCTTTTATTCTCAGAATTTGCAGTAATGAGTTTTCTTTCTCCCCTGCAGTCGGCGCAGCGCCGCATTCGTGCCATGGTGCAGACCGTTGCCCCTCCCGCACCCACCGGTGGCCGGCCACCCCGAGGAGGCGGCGGCGGCGGCAGCCACAGAGGAAATAACGACCAGCAGTAGCCCCGTGCCGCGCTGTGCCGCGCCGCGAGCCCCGCGCCCCTGCGCCCCCGTGCCCCCGGCCCACCGCGCCGGGCGGGGCCAGCGGGGCCTCCCCGCGGCGCGCCACGTCGGACGCCGCTCTCTGACAGAAGCTAAACCTACTAAGTGACAACGTATTACCTCAGCAAGCCACCACCATACCAAAGATGTGATACTGTGTCCTGTGTGGCCGGGTGGGAAGAGCCACCGGCTTGACTTGCGACGATTTAAGTTTCTCTTTGTTGGTTTGTAATTTTTTTTATTTATAATTTTCTTTAATGAATTTGAAGACACTTAAAAGGGAGTGAACGTCGCGGATGGAGCCGCTAGTGGTTGGTGAATCTAGTATCTGTGGAGAGATGCGGAAAGGACGGCTGATTTGAGGGCGTAGTGGACAAATAAAAGAAGCTGTGGCCCAAAGAGTCTCAAGCTCGAGAATAATGTGCCAAAATGGGGTTAGAGTAATTAGGAGAAAGGAGCTGTATACAGGGTTGGTTGCTGAAGGAGCAACAGACAGCTGGTGATTGTTCCTGATGGGGGCATCTTGTACCTTGATCGGAGAGTGGTTGCATCATTTGATATGGCAGAATTTCATAAGATGATTGGAACTGAAAAATCGGGCACAGGGTGCGTGCCGTCAGCCTGAGTAGTTTAGTTAGTGATAAGCTGGTGCACGCTACATCCTTCTGGAATTCTGCCTTTGAAATGAAGTGTCTAATCCCAGTCTCCCTTCAAGCCTGGCATGGCTTGGCCTTGTATTTGTCGACTATGCCTAGTTAATATATTTTGACTTTGGCTTTGTAAATGCAGTAAGGTAATCATACTGTGTCATGGTTACCCTCTGCTGTTGAGTGAAACTTGTAGAAGGAGTAAGTACCACCGAACGTTCAAATGTTCAGTCATAAAGTGCGTTCTAAGAGATTTTAAAATAAAGTGTATAATGTGTCTCAGGGTACAATGAGGCTGAAGGAGGTGATTGAGTCGTTTAGTTAGTACAAAAACTTAAGATATTTTAAAAATATTGACAATTTTTTTAGAGAAATCGAAAAGGGATTGCTTTGTTTCTAATAATGTAGCATTCTCTTTTCTGTATGTAAAGTTATACGGAAAGAAGTTTATTTTTGATACTTTGTTGGAGAAAATTTTTTTTTTGTTAGATTTTTTTTTAATATATTACAAAAAAGGTTACATAAAATTTTAATGGCACATAGCGTTTTTGGCTATGTGGAAAAATGGAGAAATGACTTAACTCACACATAGGATCAAAACAGGTAAAGCCGAGCTAGTTGGAGTTTTTGGTCATTGGCCATTCAAGGAAAACCATATCAGTAGTTCAAAGCCAGCCGGCCCAAACCAAACGCTATAGCCTTTGAATTGGATCACATTTCTTTCAGTTCTTAGAATTTTCTTTTTGTGTTTTACTTAACTTGAGAACTGCTGAATCATTTCATTGTTTCCTAAAGCAATTCCAGAGATTGCTTTCCAAAACAATAATTTGAAGCATTTCAGACAAATTTGAGAGGTGGTGAGTCTCTTGTTTGTTTTCAAATGTTCAAACCCTCCAAAGCAAAAGATGCTAAGTTTTTTGAAAGCTCACATGCAACGCACGCTGAGAGAAAAGTGCATGAAGTCTTACTGTCGCAAATCAGATTTAGACTGATGATGCAAACCTAGGTGGATACTAAACCATACTACAGATATTTACCTGGATACATGTATATTAATTATTGTGTCTCACAAGGAAAATGTCCATGATAGAATCACTCTCATTTGAAACCAGCCCGCGGCAAACTTGTAAATTGCCTGCGATAATTACCGACCAATGACTTATCCCACTCAGTATCACCCTCACTGCTCCTCTAAACGGGTGTGGCGTTTCCTGAAACAGAAGCCTGGTTGATTCTAGTTCCAATGTTTATGAATGTTGTTTTCAGATGATATCGTTTATTCATGAATGAGAGCATATTTTGTTGTTATTGCTGTGTACACTAAAGCATAATTAGATGAAATATTGTATTTTTTATGCATAAGTGTGCGAGTGAGTGTGATGTGTGTATTTCTCAGGACAACTGTTGATTATGCCGTTAAGTTATTCCTGGGGAGTAAGTGGTCCCATGGTACTCTTCTCCCTTCCGTTATCTTCTGTTTGTATTCAGGAAACGCTAAAGTTTTGCCGAAATGAAATTAATGAATTACAATGTTATAGTATTATTGAGCTTGAGGAATATCTGAGTGGGATGCAATGATGCGCTCGAGCGCACTTTTACCCCCTCTATAAATACAACAGCTTCTGTCTTAGAATATGCTAAGAAATCTTTAGGCCGACCTCGGCCGGCCGGAGCAAAGTTAAGGGTGCAGGGCATAATTTCATTATGTCTTCAACACACTACCTCATAATAAAATAATTCTTCTTTTATCTGAAGGAAACATGCAAATCTGAAAAAAATACAAAAATACAAAAAAATATGTAATAGTTTATATATTATCAAGGACAGCAGAGCATAGTACATTGTAACACATGACCCATAAAATGAAACGGCTCGGAAAGTGTTAATCCATAGCAGGAACGGTTTTACTATTGTGGATTGGATAATACCTACCTACATTGAATTGCAGTGCATTTTTTTGTTGTTTCATGTAGATTTGTGTCAATGTGGAGCTTGCAAGAAAGCCTATAATCACTCCTTATCTTTGATGTTGTAGATTTTTGATGCCCACTGCATGTGTGTACCTTAGAAATGTTTGACATTATTTCTGAAATTTCTAACTGTAGAGGTTCATTCAGAGGTTCTGTAGTGCAGAGTACCTCTCTGCTGCCCATTTTTCTGCCTTTCCTTCATTTTTATCATCAGATTGTATTTTTGAGTTGCTATGCAAATCCTACAGGATGGTTGGTATCATAACAGACTCATCCCAAATGATGGATAATTGTTAAACTGATCAACTTTTTTAATCGTCTAGAATGAACTTATTGGCTTGCATTAAAAAGCATTTGCATTTCTGATTCTATTGATCTTTCCTGTTATGATGCTAATCATTCGATTTTACCAAGGTAGTAATTAATATTGTATTTCAAGCAAAACATATAGTATAAATAGATGTTGCCCATTGTTGGTTCTCAACTGTAAAAAATACTTTGCCTAGTGATTTTTTCTGGGTTCTGTTAAGCATATAACTTTAACTACGTTAGATTTTGGAGTTTTTAACTTAACTGCATCAGCAACAAAACTACTTCAGAAGTGATGAGTTAGTTAACCCATGTTAGAGCAGTAAGTACAGCCCTCAGTGTTCTCAACATGTCAGGCTGGATAAATGGTAATTTTCTTTTTGTTTTGAAAAGACTGCTGAAATAGGGCTTCTTTTATATTTTCTTTCTTGGATGTGCACAAATTTGTGAAACTTTAAAATGTAAGTAAATTAGAAACATTTGGTGTGCAGGGCCTGCAGGAGAATTTTAAAATCAGTGTTTGATTTCTGATTGTAAATCAATTTGTATCATTCCTGTTTTTTGCTTTAATCATGTAGAATATTTGGATTGGCAAAGCTTAATGAAATGACTTTGCTTTCATTATACATATATAAAAGGAGCATATAATCAATTGCTTAGATTTGGTGTATAGTCTTAACTTGGAACGCTTTCCGATAGTATGCGCCATTTTTCTCCTGCAGAGCCGCTAAAATTTGATTTGCTATCAAGATATATCTTCCTCTTTTTTTTGTGTATGTCCTCTCTCTCAGGTAGTTAAATGATACCTCATATTACACAGCATTCGAGCAGTTGGCACGGCTCCACAACACAGTGCGCCTAGGCTAAGCGAGGCTGGCCAGACAGTTCAATCATAACAGTTCATTTAACTTGTATAATATGATGGTCCATCAAACAGCATGCGTTCTCCTTTTTCTACCATGAGAAATAAATTATTCTAGTTAATGAATATTATTTGTTTTGTAGAAACCTTTTTCCCAACCTAAGTACTTTGTGCAAAAGATATTTGGAAAGAAATGTGGGTGGAATATTCGCCTAACCTACAACTTAAATTATCCAAGTACAAATGATGGTGCGGTCATACAAAGGAATCCAGTGCTACTTGTCGCCTCAAGACAAAATTCTGTGGCTTATTTTAGCTCAACGAATTGGTGTGAGCAATCTAGCGAATTGGGTCAAAATAATCATTACACCGGTACTTGATTAGTCTGTCGGTCTACTGTGTGTGTATATACCCCATGCAACGCCACCCGGAGGGGGTGGTTATGGACATACTCTGAGCAAGAGAGGCCCTACTTCCTGAGGGGGGTAGTTCCGACGTCGCCTTCAGGACGGCACTACGACAACGACTTCTACGACAAGAAAAAATGAATTCTTTTGGGCCCCCGGGCCGCGAGTCCCACATGGTGGCCATGGCCATACCTACCAGATGGCTGATTCACCCCGCTCACTTCTGTAGTTATGCTCTGCCGCAGTTGACCGCAGTCCTGCGCGCAGGATGCTCAATAGCTCGCCCCGCCCGCCCAGCTTTGGTCAGGGGCGATAGGCAAACCCGCCCGCACTCCTGCGTGTGGTAGTATAACTACAGGGGTTGATTAGCCTCCTAGTAATACAGCGCACGGCGTAGCTTTTCCTTTCAGGAGCCAGAGCTGGTGACCCTAAAATTCTACCCCCGACTGCGCCGGAGGCCGCGACCTCAAGGTTGGGACCCGCTGACCTACGCGAGAAACCCACGCAAGAAATCGACCTTGCCGTGCTGAACCATTTCCCACAAAAGAAGGGAAAGAAAGAACGGCCTTCTCCCCACGTTCACCTTCGGGGTCGTGCCGCACGAGACGACGGGATGGGGCCGTCTTTGCGCTCCTCAACTCCCTGCGCCGCCGTGCTCCGCGTGCCTCAGCAGCCTCAGCCCTCGCCTTCCTATGCTCCCTCCCCCTCTTTTCAGCGGTTTGCCGCTAAAAGGCGTGGGAGCGCGCAGCTGACACCGTGTCGCCATCGACGCCTCTGCCGCCGATACACCGATGGCATGGCCCCACGGCAGGGACGCGATGACAACACAAATTGATTTTCCGATGCGTCGGGCAATTGACGCCTCATCGGTGGCGGGCGCGCGGCCCAGCAATAAGGGCGCGAGAGGCCGCCTCGCCC